TCTCTCTCTCTTTCTCTCTCTCTCTCTCTCTCTCTCTCTCTCTCTCTCTCTCTCATCTCTCTCTCGCCTCTCTCTCCCCATGTTTCTCATCTCTCTTTCGTTCTCTCTATCTCTATCTCTCTCTCTCTTTCTTTGACACTTTGTCTGTCTGTCTGTCATCTGTTTGTCTGTCGCTCTGTCTCTCTCTCTCTCTCTCCCTCCTTCCCTCCCTCCCTCCCTCTGACTCTCTGTCTCCCTCTCCCCCACTATCCCTCCCTTCATCTCTTCTTTGTCCCTTCCTCCTTCTCTCACTCCCTCACACCTTCTCCCTCCCTCCCTCCCTCTCTCACCCCCTCCCTCTCACTCTCTCTCTCCCTCCATCTCCTACTCTCTCTCTCCCTCCCCAGGTATCCATCGTAGGTATCCTATGGCTGGCTGGCCTGTACTTCTCCGTGTCCTCCCTCCCTCCCTCACTCACACCCTCATTCCTTCAATCTATCCCTCACACCCTCCCTCACACTCTCTCACACTCTCTCTCCCTCCCCAAGTATCCATCGTTGGAGTCCTATGGCTGGCTGGCCTGTACTTCTCCTCCGTGTCCTCCCTCTCTACCTCACTCTCACCCTCACTCCCTCACTCTATCCCTCTCTCTCTCTCCCTCCCTCCCTCCCTCACTCACTCACATCCTCCTTCACCCCCTCCCTCTCACACTCTCTCTCTTCCTCCCCAGGTATCCATCGTCGGAGTCCTATGGTTGGCCGGCCTGTATCTATCCTCCGTGTCCTCCTGTATGGGCAGTCTGTACGGACCTCCCCGAATCCTCCAGTCCATCGCCAACGAGAACACCATCCCCATCATCAAAGTTCTGGGCCACGGGGTAAGAAATGAAAATTTAGTTGTTTTAGTAGAGGTTTTACGGCGCTCCCAACTGAATAAGGTCATATGAGCGTCAGAAGATTAGAGGTATTACAAGAGAGTAACAAACATAGAATAGAAGAAGAGGAGATAAGGACGATAGATGTTTGATAGGAAAGAAGGAGCAAACCACACCAAAGCACCCACCAACCACCCACAAATGAAGATTAAAAGGCGTAGTTGGCAAGTGTTTAGGCTCTTGAACTGGCAACCATAAGGTCCTGGGTTAAAATCCCAGTATTTCAGTATTCCTAAAAAAATTTTGACAGACTGCTATGCAAAGCATACGGATCGAATTTACGAGTAAATTAGCTCTTTCGAAAGGGGGGGAGGGGCACAGTGTTCCCCAAGTCGTATGGATACGATAGTAAAACATGACGTACGGATAGGGTTTAGTAGATCTAGTGACACAGAGTTCCCCACATCTTATGGATACGGTAGTAAAACACGACGTACGGATAGGGTTAAGTAGTGGCACAGAGTTCCCCACGTCTTATGGATACAGTAGTAAAACACGACGTACGGAAAAACTTAAATTTCAGTGAAATATTTCGTGAGCTCATGCAATCAATACCACAGATTGAGTGATTGCATTAGAATTAGATCTAAATAAAAACAATTCCAAATTTTGTTGGCCCAACTTATAATGCATTTTGACAGCTGGCCAACAATATATAAGACCTAAACCAGTCCTACATCCTACTGAATGTTATTGTGGTTGTTATGTAATAATCTGGTGTTATAACTTTCGCTTGTAGTGTCCTGGAGGGGTTTTGAAAACTTGCAAGCATGATCCCCAAATGTTTGTTTTTTCTGTTCTGTTTTCTGTTTTTCTGTGTTCTGGGAGAGAGAGAGAGAGAGAGTAAGAGAGAGAGAGAGAGAGTGGTGGGGAGAGGGTGAGAGAGAGAGAGAGAAGAAAGAGTGGTGGGGGAGGGGTAGAGAGAGAGGGGGGGGGAGTGAGAGAGAGACGGACGGAGATACATGTACAAGAAA